GGGCGCCTTGACACGCAGGTAGCTGGTTAGTCCTGCTTCTGCGGGGGGGGGGGCGGTTAGGCCTTCTCTAGGACCTAGGGACAGACTTCAGCTTCACACTTAGCAAGGTACAGTTGTGTCTTCAGTGTAAGTTAATTCCACCAAGAAAGAACAATCCCTCTTTTCTTACTTACTAGAAGAACATAGTGTCTGTTAAGCACTGGGGAAAAAACTAGATCATGTTTGTTTAAAAACGTTCTAAGCATTTTAGCCGTTCAATGCGAAAGACAGTAAAGACGGAGGAGACCAAAGGTTGCTAGTTTAAAACTGCAACGGCTTTACCTGAATCTGTTTGTAGCAGGAGTAGCTTCCATGTTAAATTCTGCAACTGGCACTCCTCTGGCGGATACCTGAGGGGCAAACATAGCAGCAGGATACACCACGGAGGAGGTCCCGACCTGCAGGGACGGGGCGAAAAATCACGAGTGTAGCAGGCCAGTAGTTAAACAGACAGAACCAAACCAACCCACGAGGTAAGGACCCTTCTCAGAACACTGGATCTGCAAAACTGCTAAAGCATGGAAGATCCCTACAGAAATGAAACCAAATCCGTATCTACATTTAGCGTCACTGCGTATGTAGCTATTTAACATAGCGTAGGAATCAGGAATTGTTTCTCCGATGCAACCCAGAGAAGCCTGTTTGGGGATTGTGACTGTAGCTGAACAAAAAAGTCCCACAAACAAGGTGGCGGACTTTGCTTTCAGGAAGAAAACCACAAGTTGTCCCTTCTGCTAGTTGAGATTATTTTCCGAAGGGTACACGATATTCTGAGCAAATGTTTTGGTCAGCAATCTAGAACCCGCATGCCATGTAAACAACCTCGCAAAAAAAGCAGCACATGATAACAGCTAGCTACGTTCTTACAACATTTTGTAACTTTTTTTTTTAAACTGAGCATCAAAATAATCCTGTTTTTTCACTGTTTGAGAAATTCCAATATTAGCTAACCTCCAACACCTGTGTACACTAAGTGTGGACTGCAGATGCCAGCTGAGCGAGATGCGCACACGCTGAACCTGTTAACTTCTGAGTAGCATACCTACGTTTTCAAACTTCATGGTCTTTTAATGTTTTACACTCGACACTAGGGAGTCCCTCAGGGGCTCTTGGCCCCCTCGGGGAAGTGCAGATGCATCTCCTTTACCCAGGAGGTGCAACCTCTTTAGCGTGGCTTCCCTGCCGGTTAAGAGGCTAGGTAACAAAAGCGTCACTCACTACCAAGCAGAGGTCGCATATCTCAAGCTCCTTCTCAACCTCTGTGAGAATGTCAGGATCCAGGGTTTCGCCAAACCACACAACGTGGGGACGGAGGAGCCCGTTGCAGCCATCCTCCTCACACCTGTTTAAAAACCACAAAAGGGACAGCGTTATATGCTTCTGACGTGGACATTTCAACCTGCAAAATGGCAGAGCGGTTTTCATTCTCATTTGGACACGTCTTACCTGCCCTCGCTCTTTCTCCCTTCTCTTTCACAGCCCTCCCCACACCCTCCTCTACCAAGTGCTGGACAGAAGGCAGCTGATGCTGTGCTACATGCGTGTTGGAAGTACACACACGCTGCCCGGTCACACAGAACGGGTTGCTGAACAGTCGTTCAACTCAGATAATCATGTCTTTCCTTTGCTCAGCTCCTGAAATGCATGAAACTTAAAAACACAGTATGTGCTACAGACCTCTGCCTCCATCAGCTTTAACAAACTGGCCAACAGGATTTTAAGGAGAAAGTGAACTGAAAGACAGAAGCACTGCGTTAGCCTCTTTTCCGTAGGAGCCAGATGAAAAATACGCTGGTTTCTTGCATCTGCAGCTAGCTAAAGCAAAGCTTCAGCCGTTATAAAAAAGCACCGTGGCGTATTTAGTGCCTGCGAGGGACTATGCAGGGGCTGTACCCCAGCACTGTATTCCAGACTGACCAACAGTAGGTAGCACCTGCAAAGTAACAAAATGTTTACTGTGTAGCAGCACTTAGTTTCCTGCTGCGATTCTCCTCCTACTCCACTTAGTACAAAACCTATGAATTTAGGCATGTTTCAGCTTGATGCTCAAGTACACAAGCATGCGATCCCTTTAGCACCGTGGTAACCTTCTAGTACACGCTCCTGTTGCCTGCTCTCCCCCCTAACGGCAGGTTTAGATTTAGACTCCGTTCTCTGGGGCAAAGTCCCACGTCTTTTTCTCCTGTAGAATGTTCCCGTGCCCTTCCAAAACTACGTGAACTGTAATACAAGCCTTTGAGATGCACAAAGCATGAAGAGGTAACAGCAAAAAACAAAGCAGTCCATACGTACTGAGGAAGGTCTTCAACTGGAATCGTGGCGTCTTCTGTTTCGGGATCTGGAGCCCTGAAGTTACAAAATTGAAGTACGTATTCAATCATACAAAGTGCACTTTGTATATTAATAAAAACTCAGTATTCTCTAAAGCACACTCTTCCAATCAAGGAATCTTTGCAACTTCAGCCAACTTCAGCACCTACTACACCACCCTAAAATACCACACGCAGGGCAGGCGGGCATTTGTCCAGAATTATCCCAGAGCTAAGCAGCTGTAATAAGCTGGTCAAAGTCTGTCAAAGGCACAGCAAATACTTACGTAGCTATCTAAAGATCTGGGGAAATGCAAAGGGAAAAAAAGCCCTAAAAATCTATGAGCATATGCCTGTCGCGCCCCCTTTTTTTTTAATGGTGAAAGAAAGAGAATGGCTAGAAAAAGGAGACCGAAGGATTCTTCTGCAACTTTTTAAGTTGCAGAAATCCTGGGAACTGATGATTCCCTCCTGATTGTTTCACACATGTGTATTTTGAGACCTGTAATCATGAGAATCTCACTGATGAGCTGAAGGACAAAAGCTACAAGGTGCTCAGGAGATGCAGAAGAGGACAATCCATCTATCAAGTGATGACAGTCCAATTTAAGGAATAAGCATCCGCTTTAATAAAAAACCTGGAAGGCGAAGAGGATGGGAGTAAACACGCATTCTCAAAGAGTACAGTCAGTTGATGTCCAAGGTGAGAGTTTCAGACCATCTGAAATTGTTGTCATTAAAACGTATATAATGTTGTGCTGACTTAGAGGTTAACAGTTATTCATTCACAGGACTTACGGTATCATGGGCTCTCACTGAAGTTACCAAACGGTATACCCACGTTTCAGAACAGTTGTGTAAAATTTAAGCATTAATACTACCAAGGGAAAATGGGGTGGTTGGCTGAAACTCCTGTACGCTCCTAAAATGGCCCCTTTTCTATTGAACAGCAGACAAAGTAGAAAATACAGAGTTTACAAGGCAGACGTATTACCCTTTCCCGGCCAATGCGGGGCATATTGGACTCTTGTAATTTGCAGCCACGTTTCCGCAGTTGGTGCATCGAGTTTTAAATAAACTACCTGAAACGCACAAAGAGAAAACATCAGGGATCACGCGATTGCTCTGAGGCACGGCTGCACGAACAAGTGGTCGTGTTCATCCCGGGCGGCCTTTATTCGGCTTTGAAGACTGTACCTTGTGGGTAACTTACTACGTGAACGTAACAGCCAAGCGTTGAAACCTGGCAGCATTGTGAACGAGACGCTATTCACACAGCGCGTACACGTGCTCTTGTTCAGCAACCCAAGGTGACCAGCCCCATAGTTAAGCACAGACCGGGCCCAGCAAAGACAGACGCAGCCCTTTCAGCTGAAAAGCCGCAGTGAACAGCAGCCAACAGTCCCCCTAAGCTAGGATTTGTCACCTCGTTCTACCTCACGACACGAGTAATACACAGCCTCCTAACAGTATCTCAGAGGAAAATCATTGCTTAAAGCATTACTGAGGGAGATGATTTCTGCTTATTTTTTCTCCCCTTAAACCAGAAACGTTCTCTAAAAAAAAATATATATATATGCTGTTTAATGCTATTTCGTTTTATGCGAACTCCCCAACCCCAAGACTTTTGTAGAGTTACTAATGTGCTGTAGAGATGCACAACATTACCAAGAGTTTAAAATTGTTTCTGTCTTGTAAAGAATAAGGATAATAAAAATAAAACTATACCCAAGGCTTTACCCTTGGATCCACAACTGCAAAGCAATTTGTGCAGGTTTCCTGTGTCGCCATCAGAGAGTAGCGGTGGGAAATCCCATTTAAACCTTTCGTGATACTTAAGTTAAGAAGCATCATAATGCTGGAGGACCGGGATGGGACTTTCTCCTGGGAGACTTTCACTCTGCGGCAGGGCCTGCGGAGTGGAGAAAGGAGGAGTGGGGGCACTCCTCAAAGGATGGAGAAGGGCTTCCTCACCCTCGTTCTCTCCACACCTGTACACTTCCTCAGATCCGAAAGCCCCGCTGACCCCCGTGGGCTGCACCTGCGCTGTGCTCCTCTGGCACTTTGCGGGAGAGGGGGTGGGAGCGAGGAACGCCCCTAACTACGGGGAAGAGAAAGGGCGTGCCACTGGGCGTAGGAGAGAAAGGTAAGGGAATCTCATCTGTTTCCAGCCCCTTCTTCCTCCTGTAGCCAGGGACCGCACAGGTGGGTCTTTGAAGGGCAGGACAGGGCCGAGGGAAAGCGGCAGGTAGCAGAGCAGAAAGCACCAGGGCTGGCGAGACCGGTCTTGCCAATACAGCTTTCACTGGTGGCAATACCGGTGTGGCACCACCGCTACCGCAGAGCAGAAGTCCTCAACGGATTCCTTCCTCCTTTCCTAAGCGAAATCAGCCGAGTATCCCTATCCGCATGTATTCAAGTGGATGTGGGGCAAAACTGAGCGAGTGGGAAGGGAGAACCGGTTCTTGCGTACTGTCAGAATCCGTTAAAAAAGAAAGATGAGAAATAAAGGGAGGCTATGAAGTACCCGAAACAACTTCCAGAAGAGAACAGGGTGACATTGTGAATAGCTCCGTGCAAGTTATTATCATTTTAAAGACAAATTTCTTTCCTCCCAGTACTTATCCTGCTCTCTCTTCTCCCCCGCCAGTTTGCTGGCCTGTAGCAGACAGGTAAGCTGATTCTTACCATGAATTTCTAAGAGGTGCTTTGTGCCTGCCTTTCTGTGTAGTTCATCAATGTTCTGAGTAATGACCACAACGCTCCTTCCTTGCTTGCTCAGTCGCCTTTCGCACTCTGCAATGGCGATATGCGCAGGATTTGGATGTTTACTCAACATCACTTCCCGGCGGTAATGGTAAAATTCCCATACACGAGAAGGGTTTCGCGCAAAAGCCTCCGGCGTAGCCAGCTCCTGGAAAAGACACAACAATTCATTCTACCAAGGAAAGGGCAAGAAAATCCCCTCCCCAGATGAAGCCTGCTAGCACACCGCCGTTCACGCTGCTACCAGCGTAACAAGGCAATCAAAAGAAGATTATTTATAACCAGATGCAGTTGACAAGACTGTAGTTCAACAGCCCTTACGAGGAGGACAAGTCAAAGTATCTTATTAAATGAGGAAATAACTGATATCAATAGCGTGGCACATGGTTTTACACAGTAAACTTAGACCTTATTCCGTGCTGCCCTACCAAACTATTAGGAGTTCAGTACAGCACAAAGGAAGATGAGATATTTCAATGCACGTGATTTTTGGCATTCAGAACTCTCTTTTCCACAGCAGCCATAAAACTCAGCATCGTGTGGATGTATTTTCCTTTGCTAGCAATTTCTTTCTGCCTTAAGTGTAACACAAGTCAAATTACAGCCATCGTCAAAACAAAAGTCTAATGTCTTGTCTTTTACGTGCCAGTAAAATCTAAGCTATGAAATCTAAGCTATACTTTTCACACTAACATTAATTTTGCCTTATTTTTGTTTAAAACGAGTAGCTCGGTCTAATGCTTCAATGCATAATTCTGCTGACATAAAAACGCTGAATACAAGCTTTCTGATGCAGAAGGACCAGGCATTTATGCACACGGGTGCTTTATTTGAATTGATAGTCACTGAAAGAAAAAACGCACCTTTAGATTCAAACCAACTTGAAAAATGCATCTCTCTGACCCCTTTTTAACTTCACCAAACCTTTCATGAGTGCTGTCATTAAAAACCATGAAGAAAGCAAACGTGATTGCAGCATTTGAGGTAGCAGTTACTGACAGCGTAACGGTTACTTGAAACATCCGCAGCACCACGCAGGATCAGACTCACGAGGCGCCTATACAACTCGCACATTTTGGCCCTCGCCGTTGCACCACTCCGCCCCGCAGTGCCTGCGTCCACCTCCTCTCCCACGCCAGCGGCTCCCAACGCTGGCAAGATCGCACCAGCAAGAGAGACAGAGCTTGTGGGAGAGTTAAAGGCTGTGAGGAACCCTGACCCCAAACAAACAAACAAAAAAAATCCTAGAACATTTTTCAAGAGTATTATGAGAAAACAAGATTAAAAGAAAACAACTAGTCGGTATCATCGGTTCTGTCCTTTGTCATATTGGTAAAAGGTTCTTAAGAGTTGAAAACAGGAAAGGCCCCACGGGGTAGGAAAACAGAGAGGGTGTCAAAAGAGGAGCAAACAGCTAAGCTGCGAGGCAGCAAGAAAACAAGGACGGCAGAAAGACCCAGAGCTGTCTGCAAAAACAGCGTTTTTCCCAAACAACCGATAAACCACAGGACAGAAAAGAAGTTGCAGCTGCAGAAAGCAGCGCCCCCCCCCCAGGGCAGGGGGAAGAGCTGCAGACACGGCTGCAGGGAGAGCTCTGTCCCCACCGTACCGCCACGGGTGCGCTTCCACCCCCTGAGGCACCCAGCTTCTTCTGACTCTCCCCGCTCGCCTACCTGAAGGACTGAGGAGCACAGCTGCGCAGACACGTGCCACCAGTACGTACCTGGGCTTGCCACTTTCTCCAGAAACCTCCAGCCCCTCTGAAGGTAGGAACTCCACTCTCGGCGCTAACACCGGCTCCTGTGATGATGGCTATATGCTTCGCTTTGGCAAACACTTCCCGAAAATCAGCCATATCTATGCGTGGGGAGGAAAAACAAACAGCTGTTCAGACGCTTACACTTTTATACAAGAGGCCATACAGGCAGCGCTGGCACACTTACGCATCCAGCAATGGCTTCCACATACACCTCCCATGACTTCAATTTCAGAATACTAACTTGTTTCTGAGTTTCCGTATATTGGAATTTGAAGGACAATTCCTGGAGATCCTCAAAAATGCATATGAGCAAGCCCGGTGGGGCAACACGTATTAAACTATGAATACTCTCTGTATTTGGAAGACAGAACCTTAAACTAAAACCCCACACTAGATGCTACCACGGTAACAACTACTGCTGCTGCCGCCACCACCACCCAGGAACAGTTTGCTTCCTAATTGTAAGGTAAGATCCTGAGATGAAAAAAATTTACATTTAGTTACAAAGTATCACCTTCGAAATTAAGATAATTGGGGAAAACGCATTTCCTTTTGAGGCATCTTGCCCATTTTCTAGGTTTGCAATTGTATTTTCTGTTTTTAAACGTACATTCCCTCCATTTTCACCTGCATGGTAAAGCAACTTGGGAAAAAGATGGGAAATTTCCTTTGAGTTTTTCCAAAAACAAGATTAAAAAGGAACAGGTTAGCTAAAGCGAGACAAAAAAAAGCTCTTCCAGTTTACTTCAGGTATTAATTTTAAAGCAACATATTTTAGAATCACAGAATGGCTGAGGTGGGAAGGGACCTCTGGCGATCATCTACTCCAACCCCCCTCCTCAAAGCAGGGGAAACTCGAGCTCAGTCCTCAGGGCTGTGTCCATTGAGGTTTTGAATACATCCAAGGAGGGAAACTCCACATCCTCTCTGGGCAACTTATTCCAGTGTTTAATCATCCTCACAGTAAAAAAGGGTTTTCTTATGTTTAAAAGGAATTTCCTGTATTTCAATTTGTGCCCGCTACCTCTTGTCCTGTCACTGGGCACCACTGAGAAGAGTCTGGCTCCAGTTCCCATGCTATTTCCCATCAGGTGTTCATACACACTGATAAGATCCCCCAGAGACTTCTCTTCTCCAGGCTGAACAGTCCCAGCTCTCAGTCTCTCCTCGTATGTCAGATGCTCCAACCCTTTATCATCTTCGTGGTCCTTTACTGGACCTGCTCCAGTAAGTCCATGTCTCGCTTGTACTGGGGAGCCCAGCGCTGGACCCAGCACTCCAGGTGGTGTCTCACCAGTGCTGAGCAGATGGAGAGGATCACCTCCCTCCACCTGCTGGTGATGCTCTCCCTCATACAGCCCGGAAGGCTGTTGGTCTCCTTTGCCATGAGGGTGCATCGCTGGCTCTTGGTCAACTTGTCGTTCACCAGGACCCCCAGGGACTTTTCTACAATGCTGCTTTCCAGCTAGTTGGCCCCAGCCTGTCCTGGCGCATGGGGCTGTTCCCCCCCAGGGGCAGGACTTGGCATTTCCCTTTATTTAACTTAATGAGGTTCCTGTCAGCCTAGTTCTCCAGTGCGTCAAGGTCCCTTTGAATGGAGGCACAATCATCTGGTCTAGCAATCACCCTTCCCAGTTTTGTAGCATCTGCAAACTTGCTGAGGATGCACTCTGTCCTACTGTTCAGGTTGTTAATGAAGATGATAAATAGTACTGGTCCCAGTGTCTTCTTCTGGGGTACGTGGGTTTTTTTTTTTTCCCCCCAAACCAAAGGCAGATAAGTTTTTATAAGGAGAGATAGTCACGGAAGGAGTCCAAGACCCACAGCACGAGCACTGTAGAACTGGGCAGAGAGCACTACGATTCTGATGCCCCGTCTGCGGTTGTAAACCAAACCTCACAAAGCCCTTGAACGTGTAAAGATCAGGCCAAAAGTCCTGCTCGTCCGGTCTCCAGCCTCTGACAGCAGCCAAACACTGATGCTCAAGACGGCAGAAAAAGCAAGTGCACCTGGGCTGCCCCACTGTTAGGGATTTTACTATTATACCTGTGAAGTTCTGTGCGTGGTTTTCAAATTAAATCACATCCTCAGGTTAAAAAACAAAGCCAAAAAAACCCCAAACAAACAAAAAGAGGGTATTTACTACTGCTAGACTGAACAAGGCTCCTGGGGTTACCCAATACCCCGCTCCCAAGTTGTTACAAATGCTCGAGGCCCTCCATAATTCTTGTACAAAGAAACGAGGAGTGAATTTCATTACCCATTAGGATCATAAAAAGGAAATGCAATTAATTAGCATGCATTTATGTGCATAAACCAAATCACCAGGCAACCATACTAACTGCAGCTATGCGAGGGGTTTTGGAACTATCCATAGAAGGTAAATTTTAGCAGCTGAAAAAAAATAACAACTTCACGCTCTTCTAAACGTTTTGAATTAAGCTATAGATTCCGCCTATTACAGGAAACCTTCTAGAACTTCAAATCTAGCTTAAACACCCGTTTGGGGTACTAAAGGAGACAAAGAGATGTCTTACCTGAACTAGGACGAGCCATTTCCAAGCGAACCTTCTGTTTCTTTGAAGAAGCAGCAGCCTTAAGCCCACAATACGCTTGGGAAACCAACCTTCTAGCGGTAAATTGGAAGAGACTCATCGGCGTCACTTGGAGGGACGTTACCTGAGAAGAAATAGACGAAACGCAAGCGGCCCGTTTAGGGACCGTGTTTCTGCAAGCGCCCTGTAAAGAATTCTCCGTGAAGAACCAGGTACAAACGTTACTCGGGGTTTTCTCCTGCGCATCGCTCAGCCAAAGAGTTTTACGTTTCGGAGGTATTCACCACCACGGTATTGCCGCTTTACGAGACGATAAAACGTTCCACGCCATCCAACAGGGCTGCCGTGTCTCCCTTTTGACGATAACGGCTATCGTAATGCCTTCAGTCCCCCCCC